AATGTTAAAGCAAGGAATACAACTGTAAAGAAAGGACATACACTTCCAGAATATTTGGCTGACCTCTATAAGAAGAGCATAGTCCAATTGTCATCATCACAGGCTCTTCAGGTAAAAAACTTTTGGCAAATTATGCTGACGTCTTTTTGAAAGGAGATCATGACCTTGGCTGCACAAACCTTGTCGGGCACAGAATAAACACAGGCAATCACCGTCCAATAAAGATCCCTCCAAGGAGAATAGCTCCAGCAAAGCGACAAGAGATAGAAAAGGTCATGGATGGTCTAATAAAAGAAGGGATAGTCGAGAAATCAGATAGTCCCTGGTCAGCTCCTGTCGTATTAGTCCAGAAGAAGGATGGGACCCAACGTTGCTGTGTGGACTTTAGGGCTCTAAACAGTATAACCGAAAAAGACTCGTACCCACTGCCAAGAATTGATGGTACTCTTGATGCCCTAAGTGAAGCCAGGTGGTTTTGAACTCTAGACTTAAAGTCAGGTTTCCATCAAGTAAAAATGGCTGAAGCAGATAAACCTAAGACTGCATTTAGTTATGGCCAAGGTCTCTGGCAATACCAAGTGATGCCATTCGGGCTTAGTAATGCTCCAGCAACATTTGAGAGGCTGATGGAAAGAGTATTGGAAGGCTTACAATGGAGGATAGCCCTAGTGTACCTGGACGATGTCATTGTATTTGCAACAACTTTTGATGAGGAAATGTCCCAGCTAGAAGAAGTATTCAAGCGTTTGAAAGCAGCAAACCTCAAACTCTATCCCAAGAAATGCCACTTGTTCAAGAAAGAGGTGCTTTACTTAGGTCACATTGTAAGTGAGCATGATGTGCAAACTGATCCTGACAAGGTGAAAGCAGTGCGTGATTGGCCAACACCAGACAATGTGAGAGAGTTAAGAAGTTTCTTGGGACTCAGTACATATTACCGGAAGTTTGTGAAGGACTTTGCAATTATAGCTGCTCCACTACATGATTTGAATAAAAAAAGGCCAGAAGTTTGAATGGACAGTTTCTTACCAGCATTCTTTCAAGACATTGAAAGAAAAATCGGCCTCCGTTCCACTTTTAAAGCTTCCAGATCCCTCACTGCCGTACATACTGGATTGTGATGCTAGTAATGTCGGAATTGGAGGAGTGTTGTCTCAGAAAGTGGGCGAAAACGAACATGTGGTGGCCTACTTCAGTTGGGTTTTGAGTAGACCAGAGGGAAACTACTGTGTAACATGGAGGGAACTCCTTGCTATAGTAAAGAGTATGACATTTCCACCCTTACCTCTATGGTGCAAGGTTTACCATCAGGACAGACCATGCTGCAATATGCTGGTTAAGATCATTAAAGAACCCAGAGGGACAACTGGCACATTGGATTGGAAAGATAGACCAGTATAATTATGATATTGCATACAAAGAGGGAAAATCTCATGGTAATGCCGATGGACTGAGCCGAAGACCCTGCAGAAGTGACTGCAGACATTGTGGCAAAAGAGAGGTTGAACTAACCGGGTGTCATCAAGCTGAAGTCAAAGTGACTGAAGAAGTTGATGATGGTGAAATGGAACCAGGTATAGATATTAAATCAGAGCAGGAGAAAGACCAAGATTTGAAGCCAATAATTGATTTTCTAAAATCAAGGGCTTGCGCCCTGTTTGGGAGAAGGTGTCTTGTCTAAGCCCTGTGACAAAGAACTATTGGGCACAATGAGACCAGTTGAAGCTTGAAGATGGTATTCTTGTCCGGAGATGGGAAAGTGACGACTTGGCAAACAGTTATAACGAGGAAGTTATGGGAAGTTGTGCTGTGTCAATCCCATGATAGTTTAACAGGAGGACATCTCGGAGTTAAGAAAACATTGAGTCACCTACGACAGAGATTTTACTGGATAGGTATGAGGCAAGATGTGGAAGGATGGTGCAGGACCTGCAGTATATGTTGTGTTAAAAGGGGACCCAAGCATAAGGGGCGTGCTCCAATGAAGTGATATCAAGTTGGTGCACCAATTGGAAGAGTAGCCATTGACATTGCTTGTCCATTTCCCCAAACTCGTGCTGGAAACAAGTACATGTGTGTGGTGATGGATTATTTCACCAAGTGGCCTGAGGCATATGCAATACCAAATAAGGAAGCTACAACTGTAGCTTCACCTATTAGTGACTTCTTCTTCAGGTTTGGTATACCATACGAACTGCATTCAGATCAAGGCCGTAACTTTTAATCAGCTGTGTTCCAGGAATGCTGCAAGTTGTTTGGCATACAAAAGATCAGGACAATGCCACTTCACCCACAGTCCGATGAGATGATAGAAAAGTACAATTGGACACTGGGGCAGGAATTTTGTAATAGCCGCCAAGATGACTGGGATGTCTTACTTCCTCCATTGTTGATGGCCTATAGAACAGCAGAGCATGAAGCCAATGGATACACTCCAGCAAAGTTGATGTTTGGTCGGGAACTTCGGTTGCTAGTGGATCTGTTAACAGGACGCCCACCTTATGAAGAGTTGCCTGAAAATGGGTCAGAGTTTGTGAAAGTGTTATCAGAAAGGATGGATGATATTCACCATCAAATGCGTTCAAACTTGAAAACGTCTGCTGATCCAATAAAGTTATCTTATGATAAGAGATCTACTGAAGTCAGCTTTGTACCAGGAGACAAGGTGTGGTTGTATAATCCCAGGAAGACCAAAGGGAAGTCTCCTAAGTTGTCTTCTCCATGAGAAGGCCCATATGACATAGTGGATCGTCTCTCAGATGTGACTTTTCGGATAAAATGTGGTCGGTGAGGTAAGCCAAAAGTGGTGCATGCCAACAGGCTCTGGCATTATCACGGTCCAGGACATTTCAGTTGGGATGGAGTGAACAACGGAACAAATGACGCTGCTGAAGACGTATCACCTGAAAAAGCCACTGTCGAAGAAGAAACTCTACTTGGTTTTGAGAAGGGAAACAGTGAAGCCCTTGATGAAATTACTACCACTGATGTGACTGTTACCGATGATAGGACATTTCCTGATGAAGCAAATGTACCCCACATGAAACAGAAGCCAATGAGACGGAGACCAGTACGGAAGAAGATACGTCCCTTAAAATTAAGAGACTTTGTTGAATTTTAATTTTGTGTTTGTAAATTCTGTACATTCAATTAAGTTATTGTTAATTATTTATTGATTTAATGTAAGTGGCTATTGTTCAGGACAAAAGAAAATAATTTCTACCAGAAATTAATAAACAAGAAGATACGCAACAGTATGTTCTCTCACCTATCCACCACCATAAACTAATCATACCACGAAACTATCTTTAAACCTTGTAACCTGAATATAAAAATCATCAAAAGGAGAAATGATATTTCCTTCCTCAGACAGTGCCACTCTGAAAAGCTAATTCCAAAATTTGTGAAGGTCAAGTAATCGAAAAACTTAAACCAGTTTTCAGGTATTATCCAAAACATGCAGAAAAAACTCCTAAAAGCAACTCTGAATTACAAATACCAAGAACTGGACTACTTATAAAAACTCAAATAGAAATTAGACCACCAACTAGCCTATTATCTCAAACCAGATGATTATGGCAATATACAATGCACTATCAACCAATCAACTCACTGTTCAATCAAGAAAAGATGTCTATACACAATAAGAAACTAGATCAACTAAGGAAACTACAACAACTTGAAGTGAAACACAACAATGGAGCTCAACCTATTCTTGTAATCTACGGATCTGACCGGACACTCAACAACACAGAACTTCAACTTCTAAACAAAGACCTAAACTTTGCTGTCAACCACAAAACAGCTACATGTCTAGAGTTCAAAGCGTGCCTAGAAGATCTAGCCAGAAGACTAGTGACCCACTACATAAAATAACAAAAGACCACTTCTACTTCAAACATCCTCCAACTACAGAAAGAAGAAATCCATGACATCAACCAACAGACTTTTATTAGAGACAACTACAACAAAATGTGGTTTCTCGAAGTTCCCCAAAACTATATTTTAAGTAACGGTTTTAAAGAATTCTCGAACAAGACTATTAATATAGTCAACCAATTCTGCAAGCACTTTAGTCACTGAGCCACCTGAGCTGTGTTAATGAAATTAAATAAATTAAAACAAAATATAAAATAATTATATTCAGTTATATTCACTTTCACTTGATAAGTGAGATAATTGTGGATTCTTTTGTTAATGGTTACATGGTGGTGGTGTATCTGTTAATGAAATTAATCTAATTGGTACAACGGTTTATGTAGGATAATATTTTTTCAATAGGAGCTTTTGTCAGAAATTGTGTTACAGGAGCATAAAAAAATATTATTTCATTCATAAATTATAACTGGAATTCTACGATTGAATTTAGTGAACACCCTCAAATCTGTATTTTCTGTTTTGGTGTAGGCAATTTATTAAGCGCTTAGTTCTTTCACATGTGATATATGGCCATATAGTTAACATTTAACAAGTGGTATTTCTACAAAGGTTATAATTAGTTAACTGTCATAACATTTCAACATGGGAGTTAAAATTTAATTGCTTACTTGACCATAAATACAGTTGAAAGTTTGATATTGTATATATACATTCAATAATATTTTGCTAATGTTTAACTGAACAATAATTTTGTGGCAGTGAATTCCTTAAAAACTGGGTACCAGCCTAAATGACTGCTTTACCATGAGCTGGACCACATAAAATTTCTTTTGTAAATTCACTAATGTGTAATTTTAAGTGTAAAGTTATTTGCAACAGTGCATTAATTCAGGTTGTAAATCATTGTTGCATTAATTACTCCAGCTTGTTTTTATGTATAACAATAAGTTTTCTTATAGTGTAAAATTCTATATATTGATATTAATCTTGTAGATGTTTGAATGTAACAGTGATTGTTATTGAAGGCATCTGTTTAATGTTTGTTAGTTTCAGCACAAATCTACACAATTGGCTATTTGCACTCTGTCCATTTCAGGGAACTGAACTTTGTATTTTCATATTTTAAGTCCATAAATTTACCACCAACCCCATGAGAACTCCTCATTGGCTCAGTGATGAGTTTAAAGGCTTATAACATTAAAAAATGGGTTTTTGTGAGCAGAGCAAATATAACCCCTTTTGTAGCTTTATGCTTAACAACAAACAAACACATCCACCCTGAGATTCATCTGTTTGATTCAAACAGAAAAAAACATTATGGCTTTAAAAAATGTGTAGACAATATCAGATTATTTCAGCTCAGTATAAAAAGTGTCACAAAGGCTTATGTGAGGAAAAACTGTTTCATTCAATCTATTGCAATTGGTGGCTACAGAGATTTCTAGTTTCAGTGTGGTGTAATGAGCATGTGAAGTCTCAAAAAATTTAGGGAAGTTGTAGCCATAACTGCAACAATATATACATATAAGCACTTTAATATTTTGAAGATTTTGTTGAGATAGTCAATGAGAGAAATTCAGTGAAAGTTTCACAAAAATCAAGGTGATTTTACTTAGATTCAAGGATGTTTCCAGGGTAAAAGCCTAAATTTACAAAAATTCAGGAATTTTCCAGGTCTGTGTAAATAATGAGTCATTCTAACTTCTGATTTGCCGTCATGTCATGACAAACATTATTGAACCTGGTATTGTGATGTTTCTGGAAAATAACTTCTGTGAATGATCAGATGTTGTTCTAATAAAAAGGCCATTCACTGGTCAAGATTTATACCTAATTAACTTATAGGAAATAAAATTATCCTTCTTTATAGGCACCCCTCATACATCTTTTTTCATTAATTTTATATTTATGTATTCTTAAAATATTCTTCTCTAGGATAATAAAGTAAATTTACAAAATTTGTTTAGCAGGTTTTTTATCATTTATAAAATTTCCTTTCATTATAAGTATATCCAAAAACTTAGGCCAGTTAGTTAAAAACAGTAACAATTGTTTTCCTAAAATGTCACGTTGTAGGTGACACTGTAGTGATTTCTCCCTATTTAATCCCAATTTTTTTTAATAATTCATCAAATGTATGAATTGGAAGAAGATAAAAATTGTTGCCTCTTGTGTACTAAAATTCTCTGGACATTGTCATAACAATAATATTAATTGCTCTTGGTTTATAACTTTATGATTAATTACTACAGAAACCTCCTATCCAGTGGAAAGTTGTGCTGACATCAGTTCCTGTATGGATTTTGATTATCACCCATTTTGGGCAGAACTGGGGTTTTTACACTTTGTTGACAGAACTTCCAAGCTATTTAAATAATATCCTGCACATTGATATGAAAGCTGTAAGTATACGGACATAGTCATTCTTCATATGTTATTCTACAGATGTGACTGGCTTATTGTAAAATACTGAAAATGTGAAATTAAGTTCCCAAAGGTAACTACATTTCTCAGAAAAACATGTAGCAAGTGTGAAAATGTAATTTTCCTCTTTTGTAGGAAACTTTTTTAAATATATTGTAAAAATAATGTACTTCTTTCTATCTGAGAGGCTAAATTTGCTCCACATAGGAAATATAGAAGTGCTGCATAAATGTTACAATTTGTACTTGATGTTAAATAATAAAGTATTATAAGCTCCAGTATATTCACTGACATTAAATATTAACTTGTAACACATTTTTCTGCTAATTTATGTAAAATTAAACTTTTAAGTATTGTTTGTGTTGTCAGTATACATTTGTATGTTAACCATTAGTGTAAGTATTATGTAATAAAATGATACACTAAATATGTACAATTTGATAGCCATATTTATTATTACCACCAGAGTTTTGCTGAAATTACTACCTGCTCAACCAGTTCACTCTTAATTTTCATCTAAGACTATAATTAAATTTTTTTACAATTTATCAATTGAAATACTTGTGACATATTTTAATCTCATTCTTTTACTTGTTTTATTGATTCTGTAATGTTCCAATAGATAATACATTAATATTGTATTAACTTAAGGTTTTAAAATAAATATAATATTAATTGTAATTGAAGAAAAAATTTTGTTACAGTGTAGTAATTGATGTCTTTTATCACACATGCTAGCATGTTTTCCCACTTTCGTTATTTTCACAGTTTCAGTTAAAACTGTTTAACCCTCTCCAGACGTGTCACGGGTCAAAGGCCATGTCATCACGTTTGTTGACTTATATTCAAAATTTTATTGAACTACTGTTTCATGAATTTATGTCAGTAAGTTTAGTATCAAACTGTACATTATAATTCAAATTTTAGTATTATACATTATTTAATTTCTTAATTTAAAAGTAACTATTAAAAAAACAGTTAAACATCGATTTTTGTGTCATATGTTATGTTGAATGTAGCACTGGTTCAAACTAGATGTTTGTGATGTCAAAATACTAAGTCTATATTTTCTTACGAATTAGGAACTCAAATTACCAATATTGACAAGCTAGAATATAAAACAAGAACCTCCTATCTTTTCTCTTTGCTGATACATCACTCATGTAATGAATCAAACACAGTAGCCCCGCTCAGCTCTTTCCATTTTTGGAAACAGTACCTTATATACACTTACTTTTATATATGACATGAATAACCAATCGGAAGCTCAGAATATCCCCCGTGTGACTTTCTCAGCCATTCTAATGGGCTTGGTGCCATTTCTTTCTTTTAAACCAATATTTAAACGAGGTAGGGTGTGTCTTTAGTCTGGTCGAAATTTCATATTTTTTAAGACTCAGATACAGCTTAGTTACTAAGCTTGATAAATTGTAGTGAAATTCTACGGTATTGATATAGTAATTTATGATTTTTTTGGTTATTCATCTCTATATATATGTAGTAAACATTATAGGCTTAATGTAGTGGTTTGTAATTGTATTGGCTGATTCTAAATCATGTCTTACACCAACTAATGTACTAGACTTTAGGTCTAATCTGC